TTGGAAGGAATTTCGGTGAAGCGTCAAGTCTCTGGAAGGAGTAAATAAGTTCTTCACATCTATCAGTGTTGTTGAAGGAAAATTTATCAGTAGATACAGTAAAGAGCTACTCACTGAATAACCAGTCAAAGCAAGGCAGCAACGGTAGACCCTTAAGACTTTTCTTTAATTCAGTAATAAATGTAGTCGGGTTATTAGGGAAAATGATTACTGAATGCACTTCAGTGGTCCTTGGAATAGTAAGCTAATGTAAACCAGTAGTAGCTAAAGGTAAAACTAACATAGTTGCACACCTCAGCAAGAACTAACATATTTGTGTAATAGAGTGTGATTTTCATAGTCTTTGATTAGAGGTTAATACTGATTCGCTCTAACTGCAAGTAAATAAACTCGTGAGGATGAGCATGTGTGTATGGAACACAGTCTTCACCTTTCATAGTCTCTGCTGCATGCGATTTATCACTCCAATCCGAAGGCAGGGAGTGTTCCAACAAGAATCAAGCGATAAACAGTGGTGTCTAGTAAAGCTGGAAAATCTTCATTCAGAATCAGTAATGAGCATGAGATGTTCAATCAGAAAGGGAGAAATCTTCGTTTTCATGGAAAACTTTGCTACGTTTCAGTACGTTCATAATTCGATGCTTATAGTACATTCTGTGGCTTCATTCTCGACAATTCCACTCCATTATCCTCATATATGAACCCTTTTATCTTATTTTCACGATCTTTTCATACGGTGATAACCAGTGGTGTCCGTCAGGGATGACGAGATTCTGTTCAATTTCATCATGTATGTATTAATGGACTCAACGCTAACTGAGTTTAGCTACTCAGCCATTGGACTGTTACCAGGGAATAGTCCTGTTGAGTATGTGGATGAAATAGTCTTTCTAGGTGAAGATAAAATTCAGTCTTCTGAACACCTTGAGGGGCAGCAATCTTCTAATGTTTGGCATGCGATTCGCTCCCATCAAATGTAAGATGCTACAGGACTGTACTTCACTGACTGACTCCTGACTTTCATTCAGCCCCAACGGGTTGATTGCTGACAAAATCTCAGCACGGATACAGAAGGCTCGTTTGGCATATGCCAACTTACGCTGTCTCTGGCGTAGACGTAATATCCGGTTGTCGACCAAAGGACGTGTGTACTTCTCAGCAGTTCGCTCCGTTCTCCTCTATGGTTGTGAGACATGGCGACTGAAAGCGGAAGACACGAAAAGACCGGCTAGCTATCTTTTTCACAGGCGTCTGCGTTCTATCTCGCATGTGTGTTAGATGGTATAATAAGGTGAACAATACTGAGGTTAGGCTTCGGTCGAGTGCTAGGTAGGTTGGAGGGGAAATCAACAGACGAGGCTGTGAAGTTACATCGACTGAGATAGTTAGGACATGTGTTACGTAGGCCTAGCCGTCTTCTTCCTCGATGGGCAATGTTAGCTGACATAAGATGGATCAGGTTGGAAAAGAGCTAACGGTGGTCGAACCAAAACATGGCTTCATCAGTCGATGAAACCCATAACAGTTAGCTTAAGCCATCCATGTCGGGAGGTGTAGACTGGCTTCCTGGTTTTGGTCCTCGGGATGGTAAAAACCAATGGCGACTGGAGACAATTGGTGATATCTCTCAAAATTGTTCTCAATGGCTGGTGTCGATGCATTCACTCTTTGTGATTTCTCATATCTAATGAAATTCGATTGTTCTTACATATTGCTATTCTTTTTCCCTCACACTTCTGTTTATTATCTCTCTTTACTCTCTTCTGTTGCTTTTTGGGCTACATGGAGTGTGGTAACTAGAATTGCTGCACATCTGTACAAAGTTCTACATTGAAACCAGACAGTCACTTAATCAGTTGCATTTGGCTTTATCTTTATTTGACTTATTATATGAAATTTCAGTCTATGTACACGGCTTTGGGACGGCAAATATTCTTCCAGTGTCTTGTTTAACTTTTACTTCTAAGTGTTCGAATCCGGAGGTAAATGTAATACGAGACAATCTTTTCTAAATACTCTGGGAAACCTTCCAATCGATGTATGCAGGATCTTGTAGACAAACATTCAAGTTCTCATGGGAGTGTTTTAAATAGATTTCGTATCTGTCAGTTCATAAATTACCTCTTACCTGCGCTTATCTTGTGACTCTGTGACGTTGGTAAAAATGCATTCCCATGATTACGTACTGATTAGTTGTCGTTTACGTGCTATAATTTTCAATTAAAAATAAAAATTTGCTACAAAAGCCTTGACGCTTCATCATTTCGCGTACGTAGTGACAGTTAGTGACTTGAGATGTATTTCAAGAATACTTATGCCATCGACAGACATTATATTACTAGCTGTAGGTTTCAATGTGCCTATAAGGTTACAAGGCTCAAAGGAGAGTCAGTAGGGTGATTAGTGAGAAGAAGATAATTTTAATTCAGGTAAGGTAGACAATATTATGTAGCTATGCGAAAGAAAGTAAGTTATTTTCAGCCAGTACCATCACATTCACTGTCGTAATTCCACATAGCATCCCTCTCCACCACTCGAAATTGGTGTCAAACAGAAGATATGACTTTGCGTTACCAGTAGTATCGGTACAAACAGGACTACTCCTCTCTCTCTCTTGAACAGTTGCCTGGATTAGTAAATTAGGTTGTGTATCAGTATGTTTAATAAAAATCAACTGTACCTTATATCAAAAGTTGCAGAAGCGTATGCTCACTATTACTACATACCAACGGAGACCAACTTGTTCACTGCTGTACACCATCGTCGAAATAGGTCACAGTTACATTTCAGAAGCCAACATTCATTCTACAGAATGTAGTCGTTTTAATACAGCGCCCACAAGTGGATAGAAACGCTGGTTTTCAAAACATTTCATGTTTGATTTCATTTACAGGGAGAAGACTGACAATTCGATGTTAATAAATTTAGTGGTTGTCGCACAAAGTCGAAAACTTACAGGTGAAAACAAGCAAGTTAGCAGAAGAGGCGGGCAATGAAGACAGGATCTCTAGTAAACACATAAAGGATGTAGAGGTGACGAGGATACCTAACCAACGACAGTGAGCACCAATCGGTATCAACTGGAGAAATTTAAATGAAGTCATATCTTTCAACTTATCTAAGGAGCATCGCTCCAACTTCTGACGACAAAGATGAGGTTGTTAAAGGCAGTCTGGAAATTTACAGTGCTCAGTATAAGGAACAACATTCGAATGATGAACACTAATACCAATTTTTTGCTACCACATTATTATTATTGTTTCCCTTAATTCCCAAAGGAACATAGGGCTTCCTTCAGCTGTGCGTCTCCATTGCGTTCGGTTCTCTGCTACAGTCTTCACCTGGCTCCAAGTCTGACCACACGTTTTCATCTCCTCTTCACATGACCTCCTCCAAGTCACCCTCACCCTTTCACTGACAACCAACTCGCCGCTTCCCTTTCGGGTTCCACTCGAGTGATGGCTTGTCTAGCGATGTCACTTGATGGTTTGTTTCCTCAGAGTATGGTCAGCCAATCCATCTCCATTTCTTCCTCCCTATTTGTTTCACAATCGGTTCCTGCTGTGTTGGTTCGCTCATTGCCAGAGATCTCTGTTGCCGATCTTTTCTGGCCGGCCATCTGATCTTGAGTACTGAGCGAAGACAACTGTTAATGAAGGTCTATAGTTTGTTTGAGATGGTCTTTATGACGCGCCAAGTCTCTGATCCGTATAGTAGCACTGACTTCACATAGTTTATAGATCTGGCGGGTGCATCAACAAAATCATTTCGAATAGATTACGAGCGTTTATTAATGGCTGTCCTCGTAATCCCAATACTATAGATCAGATGGTAGGCCTGAAATAGTTAGCATCACAGAACTCTAGAAACGAACCAAGCCAGAACTTATCGCTTAATAAATGTTCAGAAGGGAACTTAGCTGAAATGAAAATAAGCTGAGGAGAATGCTTTGTGACATTGCAAGTCAGACCCTAGAGTGGCAGCCGAATAGGAAGCATAGAGTTGGATGTGTGGCCGACTGTGATATGGAGGATATAATATTTAGGGGAAATAAAAAGCCTATTGGCAGTTGTGGAGCTAGCTTGAGAAAAGACTGGGGAGGACAGTGTGAAACGGTGAAGTGTTGCTGAAGCCTTCCTTATATCTTACTCGGAACCCAAGGGAATAATTACATGATATATTCAGCTGCAAACTCTAAAACAGAACTTATCATATTCCCCGTATCCCGTTCTTAGTCACTGGAATATACTGCTGCAGATACCTCTAAGTAACACTTTCAAAAAACGATGTCCATACTGTTTTCAGGGTCATATTATTGCAATAAAACAAAAGTGGTTAAGAAGAAGAGTAGGACAGGGGAATTGTACAGATATTCATCTCATTCTCTTTTCCTTTATGACTTCACACGCATTTAAGAACAAAAGAAGAAAACAAAAAGTGTTAAGTTATTTGTTGAACACTTCCATTATACTCGGTGAATCGTGAAAGTTTACACGCGCACTGAACTTGACATCACCTTGTGCAAAAAACGAATACGTTTAAGCACATCTATAAATAGTCGCATGAAGATGGTGAGACAAAAGTCGGCAAATGGGGGAGGTTGACCACAGGAAGCGGCATAGGAGAGAAATTATTCAAAGTTAAAGAAGTCAAGTACGAAAATTATGTAACACATGGAGAAGTTACTAAAATTACATTAATATACGAAAGGATAGGAGAGAAAAACGGAAGAGTGAAAAAAAAAGACACAAGAGGATCACAGTTTCATTTTGTCAACATCACAACAACAACAACAAGAAGAAGAAAGTAAGCGAAGTATTAACACTGAATACACTCATCAATAAAAGGCTAGCACACAACCAATTAGATTACAAGGATGCATTATTCGTTTAACGCGCCATAATTAATTAACAAAAAGAAGTAAACACTTTTTACATTGATCACCTTGAACAGTAGAGAAAGAGACAATTTTCATGCTATTTATTATTTCTGCTAAACTTCTAGAAATTCATAGAAGCATTAACACCGCATTCAATATTTTCACGTAGTGCTGGTGGTGGTGTAGTACTTGTGCTGGGATGATGCGTCGCATGCATATTAGCCGTCAACTCTTGTGAATGATTCCCATAATCATATGATGTACCGTTCAGATCCGTTGTATAAGTAACTAAATTACGCGATGTAGCCGGAAATCCTAGTGGTATTGAATTCGGCTGGTGGTCCATTGAAACACTGATACCATTATTATTATTGTTAGCAGTATTCGCGTTACTACTATTATTGCTGTTCGCATAGTTCATTGTTTGATTTGGAATACTGGGAAATGGATTATTAATCATAGCGCCTGATAATGAGTTGATTGGATTAACTGACGTCAGTAAGGATGGTGGAATGGTTTGATAACTGGATGCCATATTTAGTAATCGTTGATAAGCCATAGCAGCAGAGTAGGCATTCAAGTCATTGGCTGAAACTTCTGGTGTAAATGTTCTACAGAATGGTGATACCGAATGGCTTCCAGTCAGAACATTTAGGCCGGTTGTATTTGCAGTAGTGGAATTCAAGTTCAGTAAACTTGTGGTAGGTAAACTAGTGGCATTTATCGATGGATGACTGACAGATGGTACTCCAACGAATGAAGTGTTTGTCGGTAAACCAGTGTTTAAACCATTCGCTCCTTGCCCATAGGCAGACATTAGAAGAGCTAAAGCAGCAGGCGATATATTCGCTTGATTTCCATTGGCTGTTGCTGCTAGAGCCGCTGCTGTAGCAGTAGGTGAAGGATTCCCTGTTGCATTTGAAATATTCAGTAAATAATTCAAACTAGCAAGTGGATTTAATGACAGTTGTGCTTGTAGTCGATTATCAACAGTTGGATCAGATATTGGTGACATTTGCGGATGATTAGTTGGTGTTTGCAAAAGTCCACCGTTAATGTTTGGTGATAGTCCACTGGCATTGGGTAGATTGAAACCTGTGAGTAGACTTGCATTCACTAACGGATTCATTAAAGGGTTGTTGACAAGTGCAGCTGCCGCGGCAGCAGCTGCTGAATTGTTGAAAAGACCCGCCTGACTCGGGTCCATTGGCAACCTTGAAATAAATGAAAACAAACAAACAGTGAAATGTAGATTTACTTAGCTTCTGAACATTGACACACACGCACACACGTACACCCAAGAACGAAATGCGATTATTATCATTATTATTAACAAAGCAATTGAGGGAACAAAAACCATCAGGAAATAATATTTTGTTCTTTTTATTCTTTAAACACTGCACACCGTGCATACAGTTGTGCATTCACAACATAGAAAGCTATTACATCATTTGTGAAACTAGACATTGAGAGCAGTGTGCTTGTTAGATGCTATGAAATCATCAAGTGATTTTTCAGTTGCCTTAATTCTCTGGATTTTGAGTTTGCTGTCTTATTCAAGGATATTAAAACGCAATTGTTATGCCCTGGTGCCAATCTCTACTGTATCTGTCATAATGATCACAGTTAAATCTGTGTTCATGATGGATAAAAAGTATCCAGTAATTTTATGAATCACTGATCTGACATTTCAACCCCTCAGAGACCATCCAAGGGCTTACTTCACACTCTACTAGAACCCCAGGTCACTGCCTAAATAGGGCCCTCCCTATTCAGGCAGTGATCTGAGGTTCTAGTGGGAAGCCGTGACCAGCAGGGTACAGCAGGTCGAAGATGGGGCAGTTACTTATCGATGAGAACATTGCGAAATGGTCGCGCTATGTCGTGAAAATTGGCAGAAGTTAGAATTCATGGGCTGGTCATTGGATCGGGTCCCAGCGGCTCAATGGTCTACGAGCTCTCTAGCCTTTTAACCAGAAGGTCCTGGGTTCGAGCTTCGTAGGGTGCGTACTGATTAAGAGTCCCAAACTAGGACGATACAGCTGTCTAGCAATCCCTGTAGGTTTCCCAATCGTCCTATAACTGATGTCAGCTCATGATGAAATCCTCCATCCAATCAAATACAATCCCTATAAAACCAATACTTAATAACCTGAAATTACTATGGAAATCAATGTCTTGTCGGTCAGTGCTTGTATATGATTCAGAGACTTGGCCAGCGTGTCTCAGAAGCCTTTCTAACCAGCTACTGCAATCTTCTATCATCAGATTTCTTCACCAACTCGATATTGAGGAGTAGATCTGTGGTTAGAAGGGATTAGCAACAGAGAACTTTGGGAATGAACTGATTTGTAAAAACCTACTGCCCAAAAAAATATGCCAAACGAAAAGGAGATGGTTTAGACAAACAGCGCGAAGATTGTTGAATGATATCACGCTGTAGGGCCATCGAGTGGGATTCAAATGGGAAAAGACGAGATGTGTGTAGTACATCCAAGGATGATGATACGGAGGAGATTGTGTGAGTAGCAGGAGAAAGCTTATAGGCAATTATAGGGTTAGCTGGAAAGGACTTTAGAGAACAGAGTAAAAGGAAAAATATGATTTTGGTGTGGTTTTGTGCTCTGAGCTGGATGGTTTGGTTGCGAAGCTTTCATTGCTCTACTGAGCAACATCTTCCGCGTATACTTCGATGTGAAGTGAGCTTTTAGAATTCTCTATGAGTTTATTAGTCATCTCTTCTAGTAACCCTGAACGTGATTGGTTGTTTTCGTGTGACATTTCATCCCCTAGTTTGCTTGTCTCGGTGCTGGCTGCTTCTTTGGTCTGAATGTCGTTAGTCATTCCTTCTGCTAACCTTGAACGTGATTGGTTGTTTTTGTATGACTTCTCACTTTCTAGTTCACTTGTTTTGGTGTTAACTGTTTCCTTGACCTGAAGTTTGACTTTGTTTTTGTGTGAATTTCTTCGTATGGATTGGTATATTTTGTCAATCTCTATGTGTCTATTGATTGCTGATTCATTTGAATACCAGGCCTCTAGGAATTCTCTGGCATTTTTGCAGTTCCCTTCGTCTAAGATTTGAACATTGTCCCAGTTGAATTGGTGCCCGTGGTTGTCTGCATGTAGTGATATGAGGGAGTGTATGTCGTGTCTTTTGACAGCTAGTTTGTGTTCGTGAATGCGAAGACGAAGAGGGCGTCCACTTTGACCAAAACAAAGTCAAACTTCAGGTCAAGGAAACAGTCAACACCAAAACAAGTGAACTAGAAAGTGAGAAGTCACACAAAAACAACCAATCACGTTCAGGGTTACTAGAAGAGATGACTAATAAACTCATAGAGAATTCTAAAAGCTCACTTCACATCGAAGTATGCGCTGAAGATGTTGCTCAGTAGAGCAATAAAAGCTTCGCAACCAAACCATCCAGCTCAGAGCACAAAACCACACCAAAATCATCCACCTGAGCTACAAATCTTCTCTATTATATCTAAATCATACGAGCGGAAAAATATGAGTTATAGAAGGATCTAACAAAGCAGCAGTCTCCAAATAAATACTGCTCGGCATTCTGCTAAATGAACTGTTTTTACAATTAAATACCATGCAAATCAACTTTATATATATATATATATATATATTACTTTTTACAATAACAATAATGATTACTGAAATACATGCACACACACACACACACAAACACATAAAGTGAAACAATTCACTACAAATACAATAGAGTTTGAATGTTTTAAATCAAAATCAAAACATAAGATATAAACCCTATTCCTTTATTACTATGGTGGCCAATATCATTAATGCTATTATATTAGTGTTATTATTGTTACTACTGCTATTGATCCTACTACTCGTCATGATATAAGTAGTATTAATGATCACAAAATTAATAATAACAGTAATTGTGTTTCTCTGAGAGGAATGACTGATTATGTGGAAGAAGTCTCACAGCAGATGAAAACAATAATAATAGTAATAATAATAGTAATGACAAATTAAAACACAGCACTCAGTGAAGTGTAAAGGAAGCAGAATAATTTTGATAATTAACATGCGTTATCATAATCATAATAGCAGTAATGGTATGCATTAGCACGTATGCGCGCATATATAAATGAATGAAATCGATCGATTGGTTTAATCGATTACTAACTAGGCATTAGTTTTTTTAAATTACTGATGATCGATTTTATGTGAATCAAGCAAGATGCCATCATCATTGTTAGTACACAATATACTACTTATTAAATAAATAGTATGATTGTCTAAATATGTTGTAGGATAATTATTTCTAAGTTTGTCTACTAACAACATTTTTTTAATCTGCGTTAGATAAGTTTACTTGATAGGTAATAACAGGGAGTGTTGAAGCCGTTTTATTAATAACAACTGGATGACATTTTGAGTGCAATTTTGCAATCATAATTATATTAGTGAATCTGTGCGACTTCACAACTTCCTTTATTTAGCCTTTCTTCCTGATTACTTTTATTGTCTTGTGTAACAAAATAATTCTTTGGGAAATCTCTCTTGAAAGATTTAGTGATAATACTGATGTTAACTTTGCAATTAGTTGGATGATATCATTATGAGCTGGCATCAGTTAGAGAACCACTGGAAAACCTGCAGGGAATACTGGGTAGCTGTTTCGTTCTATTTTGGGACTCTTCATCGGTACGCACCCACCGCCAAGGTTTGAACCCAGGACCTTCTGGTTACAGGACTAGCTCCTTGTGTCATTCTAACTGTGAGTGTTTGGTGCTGATTCTATGAATGGAGATTTAGCGATTAACCTGTCTCTACCTAAGTATATTATTCCCTAGTACTTTTACCCCAATCTCACCATATTGTGTGATTACACGCAAATGAATGCATAGCAATGACCGAGTTGTTTTTTTTTCAAAGATTATTTAACTTAACATGGTAGATCATTCTAGATCAAGATTTAAATTCCTATGTTCCGATAATTTAATTGTCCCCGATCTATTGGTTTGACCTATGCACAGAGATCGAACCAAGGATCTTCAGGTTACAAAGGGAACTCGTATAAAGAAGTAGAGCTTCTGAGATGGGGTCCAGTCGCAGGTCCATCAATTCTAACTTCTTTCAACTCGCCATAATATAGTCAGAGACCACTAGTCAATGTCATCGGTGAATGCCTGGTTTTCACTTATTAGACCTCACTGATCACGACTTCCCATTTAGGTTCCTAATTAGATCTGTCTCAGGTCCTTAAGCAGATAGAGTTTGTCTTTGAGTGAGTTGTTTGGTTAGTCTAAATGCCATAAGTCTGAAGTGTCACCCAATCCTATTAATACACTGTATCACTCATTGTATATTAGTTATTACATGAAATAAACTTATCTGATATGGAATTCAAGTGTGACTACCGATTGATATCAGTTAGAGAAACACTGGGAACCAGCAGGGAGTACTGGACGGCTGTTTCGTCAGCCTAGTTTGGAACTCATCGGCAGTATCCATTCACAGGGATTTGAACCCAGGACCTTCTGGTTACGAAGTAATCTGCCAGACAATTCAGCCACTGGGACCCGACTCAATGGTTAGTGGATTCTAACTTCCACAAATTCGTCATTTAACAGTTGAAATCCCCTAAAAAATAACTCTTGATAATATGAACCTGAATATTCTACCACACAATGTATTATTATTATTATTGTTCCCTCGGGTTCCTAGTGGAACATAGGGCTTCAACTACACGTCTCCACTTGCTTCTGTCTTCTGCTGTACTTTTCACCTGCATCCATGTTAGTCCATACTGTTTCAACTCCTCCTCTTCACACGATCTCCTTCATGTCACCCTTGCACTGACGTCCCACTCGCCGCTTCCCTTTCGGGTTCCACTCGAGCTATGGCCTGACGCGCAATGTCACCCAGCGGCCTCCTCAGCGAGTGTCCAATCCATCTCCACTTTCTCCTGCATATTTTTTGAGCAATTGGTTCTTGTTCTGTTCGTTCGTTCCCATAGTTTCTTGTTGGTTCTTGTTCTTTCCGGCCATCTGATCTTGAGTATAGAATAAAGACAGCTGTTGATAAAGGTCTGAGACAGGCTGTTGGAAATATTCTTTGTGACACACTGGCCAAGTTTCTGATCCGTATAGAAGAAGTGACCCACTTGACGTTTGTATTGAAAATCCGAATCACTTTGTTGTTGATGCAGGCTGAGTGACAGCGGAAG